GTCCTGCTGTGAGTTTTCGCCAAGAGCCTTGACTCGTGGCTGAGAACACATTTGCCCCCCCAATCTTTCTCGAGCTCAAAAGAGATCTAACTTGGCCGGCATTCGGTGTAAGAATTGGCATATATCTTGGTCCTTTGACATGAATATTGCCGCCAGCTCGCCATCGGCATTTTCCAAGGCCTCACCGAAGAGATGGGGGGATGGCCGGATGCCGGTATAAGCCGTGACCGACGAGTATCGGCTCCACGGTCGGTTCTCCCTTCCCAGACTACCCTCGTGTCTGGGTAGGGAGTTTTAAAGTTAATCGGAGCCTTTCAAGACGTCCAGCCCAGTGCTTGATTCTAATGAAGGATGCACCTTTGCAAATGAAGGAGCTGTCAGCCAAATCCACAGCCAAGCGGAACCCAGGGGCCTGATCTTTCCCAAACAGACCAGAAGTATCCAGATCATATCGGGCCCGTTCTCACAACGCGCACTGAGAAATCATTAGTCCTGCTGTGAGTTTTCGCCGAGAGCCTTGAACAGACATTTGTCCCCCACTCTTTCTCGAGTGCAAAAGCGATCCAACTTGCCCGGCGTTTGGTGCAATGCTATTGTAGTAGCGTGTAGCACAATGCGGCACGATGCATGGGCTTCGGCGGAGGTTAATTCGTTGAGAGCACGTCCTCACAGAAGTACGAGTTGGCATAGATCTTGAGCTTGTGGGTTCATAGTGCATCCATGCTAGGCTCGCACAGCCACAATGTTGATGCTGCAGGTCGCCCGCCACCTGCTAGTTTTGCTGCCTGTACGTTTCAGAGCTGGAGTGGCGGTTGCTTGGGCAGGGACCCGTCAAAATGGACCGAAGGTCAAACAGGTAAAGTGGCCCAAACATCGACGGAATGTTCGCAGCTCGCAAGCGCTTGCACCAGGGCTGATGAGTGGAAACCGGCGCCGGCGCCGGCGCCTCTGCTCCGTGGCCAGGACTCGTAGACACCGCGATCCTGGCATGAGCCGCATGCCGCAGTGGCGGGTTGTGCCGTCAAAGGCCCTGACTTGTCAGGGCTGGGCTCAAGGTCTGCTCTGCCTTGTCCTCGGTGATGGCCAAGTGGTCCAAGTAATCTGTGCTGCCAGCGCCAGCCCACCGGTCTCCCACGTCAGTCGGTTCAGTTATGTTCAGTTCAGCTGCCCATCTTTGAGGTCCGTGCCCGAGGATAACGGCCTCGCTCGCCAGGCCCAGGCCTCGCTCACACAGAGAAGACCTCACCCCCTGCAATTTGTGCAAAGGGCCCACTGCGCACATCCTTCGCCCCGGTTGCAGCCTCCACGGCCGGCATGTTCGTTAGCATGTACTGATCCTACAGGGGCCTGCAGGATCAACAGGGCGGCAGTGGGTGTCCTTCTGGCCGCCTCTTTGAGTGGTCTGAGCCTGTTGCGCATGTGCCAACGAGATTGTGCTTCGCGGCCCCAAGCCACCGGGCAGCGAGGTTCCGCCCCACCGCACAACGTTCTACCTTCTCGTCAAGGACGGTGCGCTCGAACTCCAAGGGCAAAGGGGCAAGGGGGCAAAGGGGCAAAGGGGCAAAGGGGAGAAGTGACGGCCAGCCACACCTCCTCTCACCACGCAATCCACTCTACCATCACTGTAGGTCCGCTCAAGGGCAAGCGCTTCGAAGTCAGGCGCAAGATGCTGACGCGCATTGGCCGCTCTCGCGCCGGCGCGAAAACAACTTTGTCATTCCTGGTGCGCTAGCGCGCGTTACACGCGGCTCACCACGTGCCCTTTCTCCGCAGGCTCAGCGACAAACCCCCAGCCCCCAGGCGTGCACAATCATGCACATGTGCACCGAGTTCGAGGGCAGGGTTGTGTTAACGAGACGTCAAACGACACCCCCTGTGTCCACACCTGGCACGCTTGGGCGGCGTGGCCCGCAGCGCACCCATGATGTTGACCCTGGCGTAAGGAAAGCCCTGCCAAAGCGCAGGATGGTGTTCGGCAACCTAACATTCATCCTGGGCTGCAGGGGCATAGGTGAACCGCAGAGCTACAGGATCCGGACGACAGACGCTCGAGGGCAGCAGACCAGCGGCCGACTCCTGATTTCGCTCATGCAGAAAACTTGCGCAGTAGCTTGCGAGGATAGCTGCCTTGGTTGTAACTTTCTTTTTTCCTGAGTCGTATTTTTTTTTGCTTCGTCGTGACTTTTAGTACCTGGACTGTTGGCACGCGCAACATTTATGAGAAATTGGGGATCTTTGTAAACTCTAAACCCTAAACCCTAAACCCTAATGGTTTATTTCCCCACCCTCGGTGTGGGGTTGTGAGACTCTAAATTCAACTCTTCTCCTCGCCCGGAGCTCTTCTCTTCGCCCGGAACTCTTCTCCTCGCCCAGTCTACTCCTCGCCCATTCCCGGAGTGCCCCTGGAGTGCCCAACCCCAGAGTTCTCCTGGAGTGCCCAACCCCAGACCGGACTCCCCAACCCCAGACTCCCTGAAGTGCCCCACCGTCATGAGTCATGAGTGAACATGCGGGTAGACATGGAAGATGATGCTGTGAAGGTGTGCAGTGCATAGGAGCTCGGTTGTGCAAGAGTGATGAGCACTTTGACAGAGCACAACATGATCACAGACCAGATCTGCATCGTTCGGAGTGAGTGTGCAGAGCAGCAAGTCACGTTGACATGTCTGTGGAGATTGCAGAGCAAGATTTGCAGAGCACCTCTGCATCATCAGGCACGAGTGCACGGAGCAGATATGCAAGATCAGGTCTGCAACGTTGAGTGTAGGAGCATCGAGTGTGGAAGCAGGTTCAGACTGTTGAGCGTGGAAGCGCAAGTTGAGCATTTCGGCATCACTGAGTGTTGGAGCATGAAGAGCACTTAGAGCTTACATGGGGAGTGGTTGCATCATGTTTACATGTGAATGTTCACCTAAAACTCCCTTCGTGAAGTTCTTTGACATCTCCTTGGAAGGCCTCCTCGCCGTCTCGCTTTCGTACAACAATTCCCGGGACAGCAAAACACTAAAGCATCAAGTGTTGTTTTTGCAGCCATGATTAGGCAACAAATAACTTCCGCCAATGTTTGAGTTCTTTGTGCATTGCTTTGACTGTACGAGCTCTGTGTGCGATTTGCGAGGTAGTAAATTTGTAATTTAAAAGTAAGACGGCCGCCGTTACAGCCGCGTCAGAGCAAAAAACACGTCCGGCATCGTCCGGCCATGCTGGAGGTGTTTGTTGTTTGCATAGCCCTGGCTGAAGGTCAGTTTTACAAGCGCAACCAGATAAGCAAAAGATGTTGCCGCCAATCCTCATGAATTTAACAAGGACGAACTACGCGTGCGATAGGTGGTATTAAAAAATAAAAGACGGCCGCGGGTATACAAAGAAGATTTATACCCACGGCAAGGCAAACAAAAACACATTTGCCGAGCTGGCTCGCCACCAAAAATCGAGCAGCCAATGCGCCAGTGAAATTCTGTTTTTTGTTTTGCATTATTTGCGCCTTGTGTTTAGTCTGCCAACTGACCGTGTTTGGGAAATTCGTATGCATGTTGGTGGACATTGATGGAAAACGACTTGGCTTGTGTTTTGTTTTGTCACCTTGTGCATTAAACAGCAAGGTGCTAGGAGGTGGGGCAACATTCAGGCGTGGTATGGTGTGGCAGGCATGTTAATGCAACAAAATATAGTGTTCGACGATATGCGATATGTGTTTTTCAACTTAGCTGCCGAAAGCCATATGGGCTCAAAAAAACGGCCCTGCTGTGCAATGGGTGCGGCTTGATGTTCGCCATCAGCATCTTGGTCCGTTTTGCTTGTCGGGGTTTAGCAATCTTGCACGGCCCTGATTTTGTGTGTTTTGGCAATTGAGGTTTTCTGCTCATTCTACCTTCGTGTTTTGCCGTCGTGAACCAGACAAGTGTAGCTGTGGATGCTGATGGCACGGTTTCTTTCAAAGCTTTGACGCTCAGCGGCATTCAATTTTGCAAAATACATATCGAGCAACCTTCGTGGAAGAGTTGCACGGTCTATGGGAGGACATTTCGAGCTCCACCCAGGCCGATGGACAGCGTTGGCGTGATCAGAAGACATGAAGAGAGCAGATTCATCGTTTCTCGGCATTTATTGATGATTTGCTGCAGGTGGTGTGTTGCTCTCGTTGGCGAACTGCAGTGCGTGCTGCCGGAAATCATCCCCCTTGAGCTTTGTTGGTGTGTTTTTGCGTCTTTGTTTGCCGAGTGTTTTTGAACCTTCTTCTCTCAAGTTTTCCTCTTTAGCTGTTCGTTTTACTTGCGTGACCGAATGGAAAGTAGCGTTCTGGACTTGTCATCGACGCGGCTTGGGCCAAGTCACGGACCCGAAGCTTCGAATGGAAGTGTGGTCCCCACGTTTACAACGATGGTCCCGAACAGCTGAGGACGCGGGGCTTGCAGCTGAAGCTGAGGTGAAAACTTTTACGAAGACCCTCAGGTCGCATATGGCGAATTCCGAATTTTCACGATTCAGCAGGAGTTTGTGCTACCTTTGCCGCCAGCCTAGGAGCGATGCTTGGAAGCCCTCCGCCGACGGCACGGCGACCATCCTCATCGTGGGTGGTGGAGGAGGCGGCGGCGGGAGGTCTGGCGGAGGCAGGGGCGAGTCATGGCGAGTCCAAAACCACCAAAGGCCGCAACAAGCAGAGCCTCAAAGCCTCAAAGCCTCAAAGCCTCAAAGCCTCAAAGCCTCAAAGCCTCAAAGCCTCAAAGCCTCAAAGCCTCAAAGCCTCAAAGCGACCCAAAGCGGCTTTTTGAGCCCAAAAAAGCGAGCATGCCGGCAGGCGGGGGCGGCGGCGGTGTGGTGGAGATCAAGGAGCATCCCCAAAGCGCGTAACTAGAACCATTGTGCCCGTAAGCCACGAGGGCTGAATGCAATGAGAGTGCCCTTGAGAGAGCTGGACAGAGGAACCATTGCTCAAGGGAATTTGAGTTAGGACTTCCAAGCCAAAAAGGGCACCGAGTACAAGACTCTGGGATTGCAGTATGCACATGCAAACAGAGCTTTCAGAATCGCGTGCCACAGCCAAAGAAGCCGCCGCCAAAGCACAGAAAAAGCCCAGCCCAGTGGGAGAGTCACCAGCCGAGCACGAGCCGAGGATCAAGGTGGGTGCGGGCGGCAAGGGTGGCGTTGGAGCAGGTGGCCCCGCGTCGGACGGAGACTCTGCGCCATTCCACGACTGTGGGCAGCACGTAGCCGCGTTAGCTATTCTGGTATTCGTGTTGTGATTCCTGTGTGGTGGCTCTCTGAGGAAAGAGTGGTGAGGACTCCAAGTTTGGGGACTTCGTCGCAAAGGGTGGTGGAGGCGGTGGCAGTGACGGTGACAAGAAAGGCCGCGATGGTGGCAACGGTGGTGGTGGCAAGTATGGCGCACATGGCGGCAAGTCCATTCAAAGTAAGCAGTCGGGCGATTCTGGCACGGAGGGCCATGGAAACTCAGGCCGTGCATGCTTTCAAGCAAGTCCTAGTTTTTGGCACATGGACATGCTATGCGGAAGTGGGGAGGTTTGTACGGTGTGCGACCTGTCGTGTTCTATGTCAGGTGGCTCGGGCACTGCTAACACCTGGAACGCGGGTGGAGGCGGTGGTGCCAGTGGCGCAGGGAAGAGCGGAACCAACACGCTGTGTGGTGATGGTGGTAGCGGCTTTGAGTCCGAGGTGTCGGGGAAGCAGCCCGGCAGGTTTCGTGGAGCAGGTGGTAGAAACTGGCAGTGGAATGCTGAGTACTATAGCAGATCGTAGCTCAGGGATGCTGACTCGCAGAATGTATTCGGTTACTGGAAGCTGAACGGTTCAAGGTTCCGGGCACACTCTAGATTTGGCACTGCAGGAAGGCAAGCTATGGTGGTGGAGGGGGTGGCGGCTCACATGATCCCAGGCTGATCTTTGCAGCGCTTTCTCAGTCCTTTTTATGCAGGTTTTGAGAATTTTTGAGACCTTATGTCCAGGTGTCAAAAGACGGCGAAGGGCGGGGATGGAGGAGGTGGGGACGGCGGTGCCCCTGGCGGAAAGAATCCCGGCAAGAAGGGCTTCAGCCTCAGAGACGCACAGGATGCCCCTACCATCCCCCTCTGAGATCCTCTGAGTCTTTCTCAGCTGGTGCATAAGTAGCTGAGAAAGTCTCGCATGTTCTTCCAAAGCGAGAGTCTCATTTTCATCGCCTTCTGCTTTTGCCAGGCCAGGATGGTCTGGGCGGTGGTGGGGGCGGCGGGTCGACGACTTCTGGCGTTGGAGGCAACGGTGGCGACGGCGGAGGGGGTGTGGTGATCGTGAAGTTCACTGCGGCCGAGGAGGCAAAGAGTGAGGCCGTCACGTACAGCTTCGGTGTTGGCTTAGCACCACTTTCCATCTTTGCGCTTCTTGCGGCTTGATTTCAGGGATCACTTGCAACTCAAGAGACATCATCAATCAGCCGCACAACCTCCACGCACCCCCGTGGAACAATCTGCACCTTACGCTCCTTGAGACCCTAGCAGAGCTACACCGCAGACGCAGTGGAGCACGAATGTTCGCCGATGTCTTCTCTTGGACCTGAGCCTATCGCACTCCAGTGCTGAGACGGAGAAAGGATGGTTCTTGACAGGTTTTGTGACGTTTTGACCCATGTTGAGTATCGAGATCTTGGATCGGTCGAGCGTCGAGCGCGTCAGCCACCCCTCAGCGCAGCTTTCTCTGGCTTTGCAGAAGGATCTAGACATGCTTCCGAGGTTTCTCTGGGTTTATCTGCAGTGCTCAAGAAAGGGCAATAGGATCTGCCAAGCTGTTGATGAACAAAAGCATGTGGGACGTACAGAAGTGTGAATTCAAGCCACGCAGACCCAAGCAACCCATGCAACCTGGACAAGACTACATGACGACCTTGTGTAGCCGCCAACCTGCCATGCAAGCCACTCTGCTTGTGCCTCGCAGTTGCCGTGCCTGAACTGCAACCTTTCAGGTCGAGTTGCATGTCAGGGGGGCCGCCACGGTGGGAGAACGTGGGATCGGGAATCTGGGATCAAAAGTTGAGCTGCGCTGCGTCCTTACAATTGTTACTAAGTGCTGGCAGTGCCCCCATCCGATTGATTTGTAGCTCCGCCAGAAGTGAGGGAGGTGGAACTGAGTCAACCAAACCCTGCACTGAGCGGTTTTCTTCTCCGGGTTTCCAGTCGTGGTACGTTTGTGCCACCTTTGGGTTCTGTTTCCAGACCACCGTCTGGCACCAGCTTGTGGTGCGACCTGCTTGTGGTGTGACCTCATGCGTGCCCGCTTTCGTGGTCCAGCATGCGCTTCGGTTCGCTGCCTAACCGCACAAGCCCACCCTCCTAGTCTAGTGAGGGCGGTTGCGCAAAACAGCGTGGGGGAATTCCAACTTTCACGGCCAAGTTCTTGCAAGCGTAGCAGCCTGAAACAAATGGTTGAAAACCCTCAGAGCCCTCACAGCCCTCCCGAAACATCTCGAAGAACTCCAAAGAACTTCAAAGCTGCACCACACCCCCCCGCCCTCCCAAAAAAGAAATCCCACAAGGAGTGTTGGTGGGAACCCTTGGGAGGCCTACAGCCCCGATGACGTTCCAAAACCCCAAGTTTGTTGAAGGCAAGCCCCAACCCGGATGCCCCAAACCACCATCTTAACCCTCTTCATCGCACAGCGGTTGGGATGCTCGAAACCTGACAAGGTTTGTTGGGCAGTGACAATACAAGCTTTGGACCCCTCGCCCGGGATGTGTCAGGTCGGGCGGCCATCATGGGTGCGAGGCACGTGCCCCTAACTTGGAGAGCCTCAAACGGGCTACGGGGTTCTTTGTACCTTTGAGGTGCAAGAACAAATGTGCTTGCCTGCGTATGGAAGTTACACTGCAGCTGCACGATGCGTCTTGGGTTCATTTCCCGATCGTTTCTCTCTTGTTGGTTGACGTTGTGTGTGTGTGTGGCTTGAGCACGCAGGATTGGCATCTAGAAAAGAATTGCTGAGCACAGCTGCCGCAGAAGGGATCCTGGGACAACAAGAAGAGTCTTGTTTGGCAAGCACAACCAAAAAACGAAAAACTCGCCTTTCTCGTGCGGTACTCGTTTTTTTCCTTTATACGAGCGCAGCCATGGCCCGGACGCTTCCTGAAGTTCTGCACGAGATCGAGCAGCTGATTGTTGAGCTCCTCGAGTCGCAGGTTGCCGTGCTGAAGGAGCAGAGTAACATGCGGTAACGGACGGCTCTTCTCTGGGAATTCGGGTCAAGAGCTCGGGGGTTCCAGCTGCACGCCGCTATAAAGATGCGCCGTGGCAGGGCTGCGTGGGTGTTGCGCCCAAGATGTGTCAGGGAATGCGGGCTCTCGAGCAGGCTAGGTCTTCCGCAGACGCGGGATATCCAGGTCGTGCATCTTCAAAGGCGAGCGTGCTCCCTTAGGGTAGCGTGTTTTTTCATTTTCGGTTCTTTTTAGTCCTGTTGGTCTGTGTATCCAGGAAGAAAGACGACGGAATACGACAGGAAAAGGAAGAATGAAGAAAGAGAGGAATGCGCACGCACATAAATCAAGAAGGCTCGAGTACATCAGCTTGCAGTCCCAGCCTTCAGGCGCTGATTTCTGTCAAACGGTGCCTGAAGGCGTGCCAGCGCACGAACATGAACAAGCCAAGCTTCGCGTCGTCCGCCGCAACATTGCGATGCCCCAGTGATCAAATTACTGGAGAACAGTTGCACAGTTGGACGCTTCTCGCGGAACGGCACGGGAGGTGCTGATCAACCCCCTCTTACCACCCTTCGAGGATTAAGGCGCGTGGTCGCCCGTTCCCCTGCGGTCAGACTTTGGTGGATCTCTCCGTTTCAATGCTCGCAGAGTGCTCGCAGGTTGTGCTTTGTAGGTTGCGTAGGCAGGGCCAGTTGACAGAAGTGCCGCTGCTTTGTTTGAGGCTCCGAAGCACGCTTTCTCCGAGCTGAATGCGCCGGCACCAGAATCACCAGAAGGGTTACCTCCAGCTTTGAATCTGTGCTGCCCGAGCCCCGAGAGGTCGCGGACACGAGATCGGAGCTCCTCGAAGTCATCCTACACGCCACCTCGGTCGCACGTGTCCTTTAACAGTGCACTCCGCGGTATACAGGACTTCTCCAGGACCATCACCACGTGGCCGGAGCAGGACGAGGATGTTGGCAAGCAAGGCTTCCAGGTCCACCGGGAGTGGCAGGAGATGATCAAGTTAAAGAGTGACAAGAGGACAGCCATTACCCGGCGCAGCTCGTTCCAACAGGTCCTGGACGCAGCCGCCACTTCCAAGGGCAGCATGCTTGACATCTTTACAGGGATGGGCTCCAAAATCGAAGCTCTGCTGAGCATCGCCTTCATTTCTGCGGATTTGGTGCTGCTTCCCCTCTTCGCATTCGGCATTGAGCACGGCTTTCTGGACGTCCTCTCCATTTCCTTCTGGGCCATGCGCCTCCTTGCCAGGACACTGCGTTCCATCGCCCCTCTCTCCAAAAGTCGAGAGAAGGGGCGCGTCGGGATCTTCGGGATCTTCGGGATCTTCAGGTGCTCGGTGCTCGCTTGCGCAGCCTGGGTTCTCGAGGCCTCGCTGGTGGCCGCGAGGGTTGCTCTGGCAGTCTGGGGTGCATCCCCCTCGGCCAAACCCCCCCTTGCGTGGGGGAGCCTCTCGGCGCTGCAGTTCCTGCGCTTGGCTGCTTTCCCGCACCTCTATGAGGCTTCCGGGATGGCTACATTTCTGCATAACATGCTTCGTAAGACAAGCCGAGAAGTCCGGGCCGGCTGGAATGTGGCTTGGATGGGCCTCCTGTCCTTAATCTGCTTGCACAGTTTGACCTGTGCATGGTTCGGAGTCGGCGTACAGAGCGGCGGCTGGGCAGAAGATGCGCTGTTGGCTGGCTTGCCATGGTATAGCCAGTATGCCCGGAGCACGGAGTGGGCCGCTTGTCTGCAAACGGAACCTTTGAAGGAAAGCAATCTGACATGTCCATACCTCTCACCACGCCAGCATTGTCACATGCAGGCTTTGTCGAGATTGCCGCCCTCGCGCATTACGGAGAATATGGAGCTGCACACCCCGGCAGAGCGCTGGCTCTCGGTTTTCAGCACTGCGCTCTGTGTCTTATTCGCGTCCATCTTCACATCTGTAGCAGCTCGGCATTCGCGTCTGAAGCGTTGTGGAGCCGCTTCAAGCAGTTTCTGTGGGCCAGAGATGCCAGAGCTGCTGCAAATCCCAAGTCTAGTAAGGTCACCAACGACATCTCAGACCTTCGTCGGCTGAAGCGGATGCGGAAGGAGGCAGAGGGGATGAAGGGTGCAGGGACATGCTGAGACTAAGACCCAATCCTTTTCACGTTGCGGTTGTTGGGGCGATTTACAATTATCTAGACATGACTCTTACGTCACGAACTCCCCTGTATAACTCAAAATGCCACCTACGACGGCATCATGCTTGCCGACCCGTCCGAAATGCGTCTCTGATGTTTCTATCCGTAGAACAGAACATCAAGCGGGCACGTGCACCTACACCCTCCGCCCCCACGAGCCTTCCGCCGAACCCTTCCTCCATCCTTCCCCTTCCCGACCCCCCGTCCCCCACCCCCGAAGTGCTTTCCGTCTGACAGAAGTTTTGTCTTGTGAGTCGTCGCCGGTTTCACTCCTTCACCCCGCGTGAGGCAGAGGACAAGCTGTTCGACTACCTCCAGGCGCCTCAGCACTGCTGAACGGTTCGAGGTTCGAGTCGAGTCTACGGTTCATAAGCTTCAGGGGGCTTCCCTTTTTCAATACAGGCTTTTGCGATCTGAAGCTTTCTTGCACAGCCTTAGCAGTCTTTACAGTGGGCTGAGCGTCATCACAAAGCCTCTGGGGGCTTCTGGGGGGCTTCTGCTGGGGGAATCACGAGGATCAGCTGCAGGGGATTGTGAAGTTTTGCAACATCGAACATGTGAGACTTGTGGAGGCTTTCCAAGGGTGAAGCTGAGACTTCAATGGCTGCAAAGGGCTGAAAGAACAGCGGGGTCAAAACCTTTGCTGCGTCCTCACGGTTTGAGGGGGGATTGCGGGGCCTGCCGTGCCATGCCCTGCCGAAGGGCTCCCCTTCTTTAAGCTCTTTCCACAATCTCTTAGCGTGTCATTGATCGGGGGGTGTACCCCTGAATGCTTCCATATCTAGTGATGTTGTCCCAGAGCGGTACTTTCAAGGGGCTCCTCCCAAGAAGACCACATCCAGCGCTCAGAATTTGTTGCCATTCGTTGCCTGCCTCAGGTGCATCCGGTGCCCCCAAGCTTGGAACAGCACCTCAGCAGCTACGCAAGGCGGCACATGTCGAGGGTGACACCCCCTGGCAAGGCTGAGCTTGCTGCCTCCTTGCCACACTTCCTGTACGAAGAGCTATGTCAAGAGGCCTTACTTCCGGTGGTCAGCGGCCACTCCCTCCTGAACGGACTTTGCTGCAAGTATGCAGCCTTCCGGCGTGACTTGTGCGTGCGCTGCTTAATGGATTGGCATGTCATGGCGCAGGAGACTCTTTTCTTGCCGGGGGGGCGGTGTGAGAGTCTCCTTTTCATTGCGCGTGGGAACATCACCTACAGCAAGACGCGCCTGCCTTTATTGGCCGGCTCTCAAGACATCTCCAGGGCTTGGACTAACACCTTACCAGCTTCCAATGTGTCCAGCATGCCCACGTCTCTGACGTCTCTGACTCTGTCGGAGGGCGATTGGCTCTGCGAACAGTGCCTTTGGACTTCTTGGACCTATCTCGGGCAAGCGGGAGCTGACACCGGAGCAGACATGCTTTGCCTCGGCCGTGACAAGGTCTTCGAACTTGCTCAGGCCTGGGAGAGGCACTTGAATCTAGGAGTCTTTTTTGCCCCAGGCAGTCTACTGTTGGGTTCTAAATTCATTTATGGATTGCCGACATTCTGAGGACTGTTGCCGGGTTCCTGGGCTCCTTGTCTCCCTTTGTCTCCCTTTGTCTCCCTTTGTCTCCATTCGTCTCCCTTCGTCTCCCTTTGTCTCCATTCATGTGGGTGGCTTTGCCGGGTTGCTGTGCTCCTCGCCTCCCTTTGTCTCCCTTCGTCTCCCTTTGTCTCCCATTGTCTCCACTGTTTCTTTGACATGCCTTTGACTGTTTGGGGCCTTTCGGTGCTGTAATCCCTCTAAATTCAAGAGGTGCTTGAGGAGTCCGGGAGTGCTTTGGTGTCTTGCGCTTGCGTGGCTTGCGTGGCCTGAGGTCTGCAAGGAGGCTGCCTCCGAGATCGCCAAGTATGCGGAGCTTGCAGTCGCTCTACTCAACAGCACAGCTGAGGAGAGCCTCTCAGACTTGCCGATCGAGCTTTCACCAGAGATTCAGTAAGCGAGGCGGGAGCCCGTGATTCATGCCGAGGTTATTTATATACCCCACACGTCGTCTCACCTTGAAGTGCTACTCTTTACGATTTTTTTCGAGGATTTCTTCAAGCGCGTGCCGCGACTCCTAGCACTTGGGGCTGAATGCCCCTGCGATTTCTTCAATGTTAGCTCCGAGATCTGTTGTTGTTGCTGTTGTTGCTCGGCAGGGCCAGGCACTGCGTGAAGTAATTTCACTGACCTGCGGTCAGCACCCATCCGGGTGCAACTTGTAGAATACCGGAAACCTCTCGGGCATGAACATATGCATCCTCAGAGATCGAAGATCTTGCAGTCACATGACTCCCATTGCATAGCAGTGGGAGGAGCATGTAAAGTTTTGCCGGCGTCTCCAAAATCGAAATAGATCCCGGACAGCTGTGTCTGGCGTTGGCGCATGTGTTGCAAGGCCAAAGGCCAAAGGCTTGCGGTAAGTTCGAGATGTTCACGTTTCAGTGGGCCAAGAGTCCGTGGGAGCTGACAAAAACGCCACCCATGTGTGCATCAGACCCGACGAAGTATTTTCTCGCGCTGTCCCGCGAAAAGCTGCATGTCCGCCGACTTCTTGATACCTGAGATCCGGGTCACCAGGGGTTATGGCACAAGGCCCATGCACGCCTGTAAGCCTGTCCGAAGCTCTTCTTACTGCAGGGAGCTCTGGTGGTTTGCAGCGCCTTTGGCGGCATGACTTGTGGCACAGCTCGAGGTTTGGGTTTTTTTGTCGCGGGTTAGTGCCCGGGAATGTATGATGGATGCGGTTTCATAGCCCATTGAACAGCACCCCATGCCGAGGAGTTGCTGGGGGTAATTGGTGAGTCCAAAGTCCCAGCATCAACGGAAAACACCTGACATCATTCTGACATCCCAAACCTCAGGTCGAGTCCGGCAGGCTCCAGCGGGAGGTTCGGGTCAGAATGCGAGAAAAAGAGGCAGAAAAGAGCTCTGGAAGCCTATGAAGCCCACCTTAGAGGATGTTTAGGAAGAAGTCACATCCGGTTCTTGTCCAAAACCATGTGTTTTCTTGCCATGCCCCCTTCTGATAGGTGCTAGATGGTGCTGGCCTTCTCGATTGCCCCCCCCTGCCCTCTTGCCATGGTCCACGAGGTCACCACAAAAGGCCAAAACGAGGTTTCGCGAAAGAGAGGATTCGCACCACATGCCAACGTTGCCCAGCGGCTCCACGCTGACGGAACTCCTAGAGCTAGTTTTGCCTCTTTTCGGTGATCGAGTCTGCGTAGCCTCTTTCGTATGCTTTAGTGTGCTTTCTGCTTTCGCTTGGAGCAGCTGATGCTTGAAGCTCGTGACCTGCAGCTGTTTTTAAGGTGTAAACGTAGCGTGGGAAGCCGACGAGATTGTTTAGGCCAGCGCCATGACTGAGAGACGTGCCATCATGGCGGCTGGGTTGGAACTTTGGTGCTCGGTTTGTACTCTTCTACAAAGCTTGCGAGTTAAGCATCGTGACCCGAAGCGCTCTCATGACAGGGGGGGGGGGTGGTTGGGAAGCAAGTTCGGAGGCTTCGAAAGTTTAGTGGGGTTTCCAGGAAGTCCCAGGATGTAAGGGGCGACCAGGGTGCTGGACCGAGTCGCTTGCTGAAGACCCAGGTGGGAGCGGCCGCCACCGTCGCTTGCACGGCCTTCGTGGGCTCGGCACCGTCCAAGGCCCCAACTACCCCCGCACTCCGCGCGGGAGCGTCTGCAGCTTCTGCCCCGGCCACCTGTCTTTTGAAGGCAGAGATTCCTTCGCTTCTCCTGCAAGGTGTTTCGGCACGTTGCTTCTTCTCATTCTCAAAACAAGCCATCTGATATGCATGAAACCCACGTGCCCTCCAAAGATGCGCAGCCTAGGCCACCACCTCCCCCGCAGTCGTGGGCGCGGCCGCCACTGCGGTTGCCGGCCTGGCGGCAGTGGCGCGAAGCCGCAAGCAGCGCGCTGTACGGAGCCAGGCAAGGTTCCGGGCGAAGTTACTAAGTTTGGACTGTTCTGCTCAGTCCTGGTGAAGGACGCTGCCGGAGATCTTTTGCAGTGCTTTTCTTTTTAAACTACTCAAGTAGCAGCGCCAGACACTCTTTTCACTTTTTGTTGCTTCGCTCTCTCGCTCTCACGTTGTTCTCTCGGGGGCGGAGGTGGCCCGCTGCCAGCAGGCGCCCAGCCAGACGGCCGTGGCGGAGAAGGCGTCTAACCCCTCGCACACAAGCACTCCTCTCTGATGCAACCCTGGAGGTGGCAGCAAAGGGAGACCTCTCCGGGGCCCTTCCCGACTGCCCGGCGACCATTTGGAATGCCGATGACATCAATATCAGCAAGCCTCCTGCCAGAATGTCAATGTGTCGAGTGTTCAGCCTAGGCCTAGAGGCAACGTTGGAGAGGGAAGGGATGGAAAAGGGGATCTGTCTATTCTGGGGTTTCAGATGATCATGGCGCCCTGGAGAACAGAGGCTCCCTCCGGTCCAGAAGACTGCTCCGCTGATCATCGACGCTGCGGAGCTTGCGGACTTGCAGCTGGGCAGATCTGTGGGGGCGCCTTTTGTGACCTCGAGTAAGCCTCAGCTGTTCCTGAAGCCGAGCTTTCCTGCCCACGAAGGAATGAACCAAGCTCCTCAGCTCTGAGCCTCTCAGGCCCCCTAAAGTAAGGGTTTAGGGTTTTAGGGTTTGAGGGTTTTAGGGCTTTAGGGCTTAGGGCCGCTGCTGCTGGGACTGCGGTCAAGTCAGCGACATCTCGTTACTGTGAACAGGCAAACGCTTCTAGGGCTCAGAGGGCTCACAGGGTTGGGGCTTAGGGCTTAGGGCTTAGGGCTTAGGGCTTAGGGCTGAGGGCTTAGGGCTTAGGGCTTAGGGTTTGGGCTCAAGAAGAATCAAAGGAAGAAGGGCACCGAGAAGGAGTGGTTTCTGGCCCAGCGGGAGAAGATCATGGCGCAGCTCCAGGATCCACGCATCTTCCGTGTCAGAGGGTGCTTGCGGCTTAGGGAGGGGGCGGGCTGCAGGAAGTTTGGGGAGGTGTAGAGGAAAGTTTAGACTAGGAAGTTTCAAAGGGAAAGGGTGTAGGAGCTTTTTTATTCGTTTCTTTTTTTCTTAAGGGGCTTGCTTGGGATTCACGAGCAAGAGCGTTCGGCGTTGGGAGACCGCGCTTGCGAGGAGCACGGCGCGATCTGGTTCCGCAACTTCGAGTCGACGAAGGCGATCTCCCGACATTTTGTTGGGGGGAGGGGGCCCTAAAGAGGGCGAACGCTAGGGTTTAGGGTTTAGGGTTTAGGGTTTAGGGCAAGCCGGAGGCATGGGGATGTTTTGGCTGGGCTTAAAACATCTTCCAAGTCTTGGCAGACTGTGACCTTTTGAGCTCCACAATCGCTCCACACCCTCTACCTCAAAAGAATCTGAAGGGCACCTGCACGTCTTAGACAAGGGCTTAGGAAGGATTCTAGCCACTTGAGCTTGGGTGTTGAATCAAGCCTATGTGTCGTACCTCAAGGCCTGATACCAAGAAGTGTAAGCTACTGTACCAAGGACTTGAGCCGAGGATAGTGTCAGACTTGAGCTCCCGCGAGCCGTGAGTTCCCGCGAGCCGTGAGTTGTTTTTCTTTTTGGCGCATCTCTCAGGATGCCGAGGGCTTCCGCGGCTTCTACGAGGCTCGATATGCCCTTGACCCTGGAATTCGGGTGCGAGTTGCGCGGATTTTTCAAGCGACTTCAAGGTTTCATTCGGCTTTGCATGTGTTCCTCGAAAGTCGCCCTCAGGCGCTCCAGCTGAATCCTTGCCTGGACCCCATCCACACTTCTGGACTGCGAGCAATGGAGGTGCAGCCGCCCGGCCGGTGCGGACCATGTGTGGGCTCGGGAGTTGATTTGAGTTCAGGGTTTGAGGGTTAGAGAAAATTTGGAGTTTTTTTATTGTTTTTAATCGTTTTGTTGCTCTCCTTTGTGGAGATTCGGGGTTTCAGATGGAAGCTAGGACTCGGTGGCTGCCCAATGGCTCCTCTTCCCGACCTGCGCCAGGGGGGGTCCCACAACAGCCAAGGAAGCATGCCGTGTATGAGGCCGTGAACAAACCCTCCCTGGCTGGGCACCTGGGCCGCGTTTCGGAGCTAGTTGTTGACGCGTTCTTCTCAGGGTGCCCTCCTAGAGGTCCTAGTGGCTGTGAACGTTGTGGTTCGGAGCATAGCTCAGGCACTTTGTCGGCTTGCACAACGAGGACGCTGCTCTAACGAGAGCGGTAGAATCCAACCCCGATTCGCTGGTGTGTCGGCGTTTTATGTCTGCAGCAGCAGTTTGATGCCAGCTGTTACGTCTTTCGGAGTCTTTCAGAATGTATCAGAATGTTCAAGTTCCGCCAGTCGACCTTTGTGAAGACGGCCACGTATGGCGCGTTCGTGCGCTCTTGTCGCATTGAGCGCTGTTGAGGCTTGGGACTTCTCTTTTTCCTGAGGGAATCAAAAGCGCACCCTCAAGGTGCACACGGCAAAGACACCCTTCGCGCCCCAGACCCTGAAGCTGCCCAAGACCCAAAAGAAGCTGAGGTGCTTCGAGCCTGCCTCCGAGGGTGGCGGTGAGTTCCTGGTGGCCGACGGCGCCAAGCGACGCGGCGATGGGTTCAGCTTCTCACCCTGCCCTTCTCACATCCTCCCCCGCCCTATCGGCCCTCAAGGATCCTCAAGGCATAGAAACTGTAAATCCTGTGCCGAGCCCTCCACGTCCAGCGTGCCAAAGGATCGTGAACGACTTGGACAAGGATGTCCTTGAGCGCATCTACAACAACAAGGCTTCCGGCCAGATCCAAAGTATGATTCTCACATCTCCAAACCCATCCAAATCCGTTCCAACCCCTTCAAATCCATTTAAATCATGGAAGCCCTTTTTCCCCCGGTGCAACTCTCATGGCAATTGCCGGCTTCAAACTCATCACAAGCTCAAGTCATCGATGTCGGAATCGAAAGCTCGCCTTGAGGTCCGCATCTCTGTGCGCCTTGAATGAAGTCAGGGTTTTCTGAAGGGCTTGTGCCGGTTGCTTCGATTTCCGGGGGGCTTGCGGCCGAGGGCGGTCAGTTTGGATCATGCGTTCGGCGTTGCAGCTAGGCATTGTCAGTTGCAAAGCGCTCAGAAAACGGCCACAAGTCCCAAGAGCCTCCAGCCTGCAAGCCCAAAACATCCCGAGCTCCTGCCCAAGACCGACAAGGCCCCAAAAGGGGCCCCCCAAAAGGGGTCCCCCCAAAAGGGGTTTTTAAACGGGGCCCCCCAAAAGGGGTCCCCAAAAGGGGTCCCCAAAAAGGGCCCCCCCAAAAGGGGCCCCCAAAAAGGGGCCCCCAAAATTAAGTCCCAGGAGCAACCTGGACCTGAACTTCCTCGGTGCGCTGCCCGAGGGCTTCCGGGAGTCGACGGCCGATTTCCTGCAGGACATCCAAGAGACGGGAGGATGGGGCCTTTGTTTGGGCTTAGGGTTTTTTTAGGGTTTTGCAATGTTTTGCAGGTATCCATTCTGTGTGACATGCCCGGCGCCATACAATGCAGATGTGTGTATGTGTGTGTGGCAACACCTGGACATGGTGCAGCACATCGCATTTGCCACGTTTGTGCCATGCTTTGCACTGTAGGGGGCACCGGGGGCTCCAATCCGGTGCTGACAAAGACACTGGTTGGATGCCTGTGATATCCAGTGGGACGCCACTGGACGTACCTGACAGAAATCCATCTCATAAGTTCTTGCCTTGCCAAAGTGCGCGTGCAGAAGTGTACCTCAGTATTCCATCAAAAGGGACCCTCTTAGATCTGCTCCCTGCTCCCCCTCAGCCCCTCTGTGATGATGTACCCCTCCACTGCCAGGACCTGATCCTGAAGGTGGTGGCTCCTAAGCTCCCTGGCCACGAAATCTGCAGCTTGGAGCCTGAAGCACCGCAGCGCCGGGAAAAGGCCCCCCCCTTGCAACCCAGGTTCGACATGGACCTGGAGATGATCTATGGTGCGGACCAGTCGAACCCCTACCGGCTGCAGGTGAGCGCTGATGCTGTGCGAGTCTGTGATTGCATCCTGGGGTCCTGAATCCTTGCATCGGGTCCCCAGTTCCGAATTTTATGCCAAGGGCTCATGATCTTGGAGACCCTCTAGGAAGTTCGGACTCCAGGAGGATCATGGCTTTTCAGGTCCAAGGTGATGCGACAGAGAGCTGAGAGCGGAGCGCAGGCCATCGAGCATGCACAGTCGCCCATCAACAAGCACCCGGTGACAGGCAAAAGAGAAGGGTTTTGTTCGAGGGGAGTTTTGAGGGGAGCTTGTGGGGGGAACTTCGTGATCTGCTGAGAGCACTTGGAGATCAGGGTTTCAGTATGTTTCAGTACGTTTCAGTCGTTGAGGGCTGGGGGATGCAGGTTCCCCTTTCCAGGTCAGCCAGTGTGGTTCTGCAACTTGCACAACCACAGCCGCGACTGGGCGCTACTGAGTCTGCTGCTGCTGTGCTTGGGGCTGGGATTCGGGGGTCTGGAGGGGTTTGGCAAAGCCTTGAGGAGCCGACAGAAGCTTCTTGCATCTTGCTCATAAGCGTTTAAGTCTGTCTAAGGCTACCTGCGCGACCGCCGGCCGTGCACGGTTCCAGAGGTTGGAATGACCGATGCAGCGTGGCAACGCAACAAAGGAACGAAGGGGCGAGGTTTGTGCTTTCCCTTTCGTCTGAGACGAGTTGCGTATGACACTTGTTACACGGGGCGTGCCAAGGATAGGTTTTTTTGTGTGGCGGATAGAGGGTGCAGGCTGCGGAAGCCTGCTCGGGTTTTGGCTGAGCATAAGGGCTGTGCTGTTCGCTCCCGCTTGCTCAAGTCTTAGAGCGAATGAGTCTTGGGAGTGAGATGAAGCTCCCGACATGTGTGTAGGTGTACAGTGGTGACCTCTCCACGATCCCTTACGATGACGTCAGACACATCAACGAGGCCTGGGTTGTGGGGAAGTACATATATGTATACATATGTATATATGTACATATATATATGTCTATGTATATGTATATGCACATACATCTGTATTACTACATGTGAGTATGTGGGCTCATTTCAGGGTCCTGCTTTTCTGGATCTATCAAAGTGACGACTCCTTTCCCTGTTTCCCACACGGAATGCCAGAGTCTTCATACTCATCATAAAACTAGTCATGCATCATGAGAAAGACAAGGTCTGCAGAGAAGGTTGTTCGCAATCGTGTGGACAGCAGCAGACCAGGTGTGCGAGCGCAACATCGTGTCGATGTCCATGAAGCAGGGTGACGTGGTCCTCCTGGACAACTACCGAGCATCGGGGCTCAGGATGTTCGGACTCGGATTGCAGGAAGTCGTTCCATGAGAGGTCTTAGAGTATGTTCAGTCCTCAGTCTTCTTAGCCGACCACCTTGTAAATGACCTTTGCAACGTTGCCCCTTGTAAAGCTTGTTTTTGGGGGGCCTTCGACAGTAGCGTAGAGCTTTTCGCGGAGCAATCAGGTGCTCCACGGCCGCAACACCTTCAAGGGCGACCGCAAGCATCCCGACAGTGGACAGCGGGGAGGGAAAATCTCCAGGGGGGGTGGTTCGAAGGCAAAAGGCTTCTGTCATCATCATCTATGGGCTGCCCGACGGAGGGCTCGAGGGTGCGCTTGGATTTCTGGGAGCCTCCGTCAGCAATTTTTGTGTGTGGATCCAGGCGGCAGCTGTTTCGCTTGTTTTGCGGGGGTTTCCTGTCGACATCCCAGGCACGCCGTGACCTGGTTCGAGTCCTGCGGGGAGCCCTTGGCGCGAGGTGCTTCGCGACGGTCCCCCCCAAAAAGTCTCGATCCAACAAAACGGCAGAAGAAGACAGCGCATGCGAAACCGCTGAACTGCTGGGTTCTTGTTCAGGCGAGGTCAAGGACACGCCGGACGACTTCATGAACACCCTCATCAACAAGACCTTGGTTTGAGGGGTGTGGGACCTACACCTCTGCATGAGGAGCCTTCAGCAGGCGGAGGGTGGGTCTTTTTCTGTGCTAGCTTTAATGAGGCCACATCTCACAGTTGCTGAGATTCGCGCGAAGCCCCTTCAACATGACACGTGAACGAATCTAGGCTCCTTGAAGATCATAGGCTTCTTGTGCTCAGCGGCACATTACAATCTCAACCGCTTGATTCCATCCAACCTGCTCTCGGACTTCACGCCCAGGATGGCCCAGATGCTTCTTATGGTCACGCTGGGGTTTTGCATCTCCCCTAGCAGCTGACGCCTCCGTTTTCCGTGTGGGAGACCTCGCGCATCGCCTTGCTCGTATGCAAACGACAAGAACACACCCCGATCACTTCTGCATAAGTTTCTCTGTAACTTGTGCATGTTCAAGGGGGTCTTACAGAAGGGCAATTCTACAGGATAATGGCCTTCATTGTTCCACAGAGTGCTCGAGGTTTCTTCGGCAGGGAAGGGTCGGAAACCATAAACCTCGAATTCCATTGCTGACCCAAATCGTAAGCAGTTTGTGGGCTCAGCTTTGCGACATGGGTTATGGGGTGGCCTTCATTGCTGTTCCAACTACGGCTGCGTTGAGTTTTGCTGCAAAACTGGCTATTGTTCCATGTCCAAGTTGCGAGGAAAACAGCGGAGATCTCCTACAAGTTTTTGTGTTTCGCAGTTGATAGAGACTGCTGGCTGTCGTCGGCCACGGTTTGCACCAGACTCTCACAGGCAGCTCACCCTGAAAGCAGGTGGGAAAACATCGCAGCTTCTGAAATGCGCTTGGGGGTTCAAGTGTAAGGCAGCTCGTTGGTGTCTCTGCAACTTCCTTTGTGCGCTGGAGGGAATCTGCAGAAATTGCCGAGATGTGTAGCAGCGCAGCGCTTGGATCGGGTACTTGTAGGGCAATCTGATGCAACGCTGTCTCGCGCAGCGCTTGTGCTTCTTTAAGTCCAGAGGGAAGTTGAGCCTACGCCGGCGTAGGCATGCTTCACTTCGAAACCATGGGCAGCCTTCTCCTTGCCTTTCTGTCCCTCACTCCCTCTCCCTCTCTCCCGCCCTGTCTCTTCCTTTTATGTTCACAAGTTGCTGTACTTCACAGTTTCATGGCATGGAAGACCATGTCCTATAAGACAAGGTTCTGACTCATAGGCATTCAGGCCTGGAGGGCGTACTGTACGGTTTCCATGCAGCAAAGAAAGGGACCTACTACACGTTCGGTCATGGTAGGAGCCTAGTGTCAACTCTCACCCTAGGTCTTTCCCAGTCGTGAATTCCAAAGTTCGCCCCCGTGCTTGCAGCACTTCGGCAGCATTTCGTCTTCAAGCGGGCCGTAGCAGTTTCCCGTGCTGCCCGGCCCTGGAAGCCCCCGCCGAAGACGCTTCGACTTGCGGCTGGGCACCGGGCCCTGTGTTGGAGGCAGGGTGCCCTGGCCACTTCAACTTCTGTGGTGTCATTGAAGCCCTGGCCAGGTTCCACTCTTTGTCCCGCTCCCCAGCCATGACTCTGCACTGCGACGAGCTTTTGAGCGGCCTCCAGCGGAGGGCAGGCATGACGTGCAGACGAGAACGCCCCTTCGCCCCAACACGCCAATGCTGAAAGCTCTCCAAGCCTGCTGTCTACGGAACACCCACATCTCTGCTGCAGCCACATCGTGCGCGTGGAAACACGCCCTGCCTGCCGAAACATTGGGCGCTTAACTTCAGGACAAGGTGATGTCTGATGAGTCTGAACTGCATGCCAGTACCTGTAGGAATCTGTAGGCATGAATTTGAGGCAGGGCTTTGGGGTGCAGAGTCTGGGATGTGCAAATAGCTGACAAGCGCCTTGTAATGCCGACGCCTGCATCACATCTCCTGTGGCACAGGCGGCCAGGTGCCCGCACCGGCACAGCCCAGCCAGGACGGCGAGTCAAAGCCGCTGGGGCCCAAAATTGGGGGAGGGGGTGTTGATCGGGGGTGTTTTCACGAAGCCATAAGTTCTCTATGCCCTCTAACTTCAAAAATCCGCAGCGCGTGAAGCGCGTGAAGGGTGTGTTGAAAAGATGCTTCTCTGAGGAAGAAGGAGAAGGTGGCCAAGGAGAAGCCGACCTGGGGTGAGCCGGGCGCCAAGAAGGCCAAGGAAGCCAAGGCCAAGGCCAAGGCCGCCCCGCCAGGATTGCAAGTAAGGAATCTTGCAAGGGGGATGGCGTATGAGGTTGGGTATAGACTGGTAATAGATGCTTTCCCTTCTTCATGCTCCACTTCACTCCTCCCCGAACCTGCTTGCAGCCTGCGGTGGAAGAGCCCATTGTACAGACGCCCCATGGTGAGAAGAAGGACCTGCAGGGCCCGATCCAAGCCTGTGAAAGCGCTAGACTGGACCTTAAGAGCAACCGAACAGTCCCAGACGCTGGGGGTGTCTCCCCATGGTCGCAAAGAAATCCTCAAGAAGCTCAAGAAGCTCAGGGGCTTCAGGAAGTTCAGGGCCTGCTCTCCGGATCTTTACCTCGGCACCTGTGCTGCTTTTGCCGATAATGCCGGAGGACATGAGCCTGCCCATGGCAGCAGCCTACAATCCCAAGGCCGTAGAGTCCGCCTGGAGCGCCGAAACTGAAAAGTGAGGCACTTCGATGGACGTTGCTGGGGGGGGGGATGGGGCGGTTGAGGCCCGTATCTTGTCGGGGTTAGTGGGGGGTTTCCGGGCGGGGCTGGGCCGAGGTGCCTGGTGGGAGGTGAAGCGCTTCTTCACCCCGGACGCCAAGGCCCGGGAAAACAGTGGTTCGGAAAGGGCTTCGTAGGGGCGTGAGGTGATGATCCGTCGATGCCCAGATTCACGAAGGTAGAAGGCTTCATGCTTGTGGAGTGGGCCTTGCTGTCTGCAGATCCCCATGACAACTCCTCAACAACGTCACTCCGAAATGTCACTTGAAGCGGCAAGACTCGGCAAGACACCCTCTCTTTCTCTCTGTCTCCACCAGAGGCGAGCCAGGGAGCCTGCGAATCCAAGCGGTTCATCATGGTAATCCCGCCCCCGCACCTTGGGCGTCGTTGCAGGCAGAGGCAAAAAAGGTTGGCTCTTCGTTTGGCCCATGACATCCCATGACCTGAAGTTCTGCGCGGTGCGCGATAAGCCCTTGTGCTGGAAGATCTGAGCCCAGGAATGTGACTGGGAAGCTCCACCTGGGCCACACTTTGCTCCTCGGCAGCACGAATGTGTCGTGGTGTGTTTTTGGCGGCTTAGGACCTGCGATCGTTGCTGCAAACGGAGCGTCCGCAGATGTCCGCAGCCATGTCGGCACCCGCTTCGTACGTCGTGTTTTTTTTCTTTGCCCAAACAGACGAGCGCGTTCTTAGGCGGCAAGAGTTGAAGGGCTGACTGTTCATGGTACACTGAGTACAGAGTATCCCATGTTCTGGTACACTCTCGACATCGCCCCAGAGTGAAGGTCATGAGCCCTCAATGCTCCGAGAACGCCCAAGGACGGGTGCCATTGAGGATGCCCTGACCCGGTGGCATCGAATGTGCGGTAGTGTGCCCATGCCAAGACAGTGGGTAGCAGAGTTGGGGATATTGAAAGGTGTTTTCAGGGTTCATGCTTATCTCAAGCGAGGCATCGACTCAAACGGGTGGTTCAAGGTGAAAGAAGATGTTTAGGTTTAGGGTCTGTGGCTTAGGGTGCTCTTGATTCGGGAGAGTTGCGGTGGCCGGTGGTGGCCGGTGGTGGCCAAGTGGTGGCCAAGTGGTGGGCCAGGCAGTGCTCTGGGTGCCGGGCGTGGACCATGCCGGCATCGCCACGCAGAGCGTGGTGGAGCGACGGCTCCTGAAGGAGGCAACAGACGAGGGAACAGTTTTCAAGCTTAGAGGCTTCGACGCTTAGAGACTTGGAGGCTTCGAGGCTTCGATTTTGATTCCACTCCACGCCTCGAATCCCAAGCCGCACAAAGCTCGAACGAGCCCTTCCGGATCCTTCTGGAGGAGAAGTTGACCCGCCACGACCTCGGCCGTGAGGAGTTCCTTAAGCGCGTGCCTTTGCATCGATATTGTTGATCAGGGGTTTGGGTTTGCTCTCTGATTCTGGGCGGTCGCTGAGGGGCTTTGCGCTTCTGTGCGCCTCTTATTGTAACATCTGGCGCTGGTTGTGTAGCTGTTCCATGCTGTTGCCCCAGCCTTCCCTGCCAATCCGTGCCAATCTCTCAAGTCCTGTCGAAGGTGTGGGCGTGGAAGGAGATGAACACAGGGCACATCAAGACGCAGCTGCAGCGGATTGCGTCGTCTGTGGATTGGACACGAGAGAGGCTGCTGGGCGTGCTAGCCCCCCCCCCCCTCCTCGGCGCAAACCATAAACGAAACCTCAAGGGACTGGTTTGGGTGCTTCAGAGTTCAGGGTTCCGGCGCAGAGCCCTGAGCTCTCAACACCTGTACTAGTTACGTACATCGCTGCGCGTATCTGCACACGCTCGCCTGCTAGACTCTGCTACACCTTCATACCCTGGAAACATTCCCCTCCTAAATGCCACATCTCAGCTACTGGCCTTTGGCTGTAGGAAGGCCAGGAGGGGGCGGCGGGGGGGGGTTGGGGGGGGTTTGGGGGGGGGTTGGGGGGGGGGTTGGGGCGGGGGTTGGGGTGGACCCAAGAGAGCTCAGGTTCACCATGGACGAGCGCTGTGCCCGAGCTGTGGAAGAGGCCTTCATCCGCTTCCACGAGCGAGGCCTCATCTACCGGGACAACCGGCTGGCCACCGGGGCTCCTTTCAGCCTCGTGATCTTCGTTTTGGTGCTCGGAGTCTAGAGTCTAGGGACTGGGGCGAAGGCACCCGAAGCATCAAAACTTGCGGGGGCAGAAGCCTTCAAAAACTCTGCAGAAGCCAATGGCCCGGCGCAGAAAGCTCCGCCTTCTTTTTTTTTGGGCGTAGAACGTGACCCCACCCCGAGGTGAATTGGTGCCCCTATCTCCGGACAGCCCTCTCCGACCTGGAAGTTGACCACGAAGACATCACGGGCGACTCTCTGCATTCAGTAACATTTGGCTTCGTTTTGAGCCAGAGTCCGGGTTGCAGGGTCTCCGACAGGGCGCCGAAGTGCTTGGCCACGTTCCATGTCGGGTCCTGGTTTTCGTGATGTTGAAGTTCACATATGTTCACATCAGAAAAGAGTCCACAGTTCGTGCACATGTACAGCCGGGATGGCACGTGTAGTCACAGACGCATGCATAACTCACAATATCAGTCAGCATTCCTGCAGAAACGGATGTGTAGGCAAGACCCTGGTGGACGTACCCGGCTTGAAGGACAAGGTGGAGGCCTGGAGCATCTGTTGCGCAGCTCCTGTCGGAGGTGCTGTCAGGTACTGTTAGTAGGATGCAGTGCGGGCTCAGTGACATCAGTGAACGCAGTGGCCGGTCGTGATCCGACTCGAGCATTCTTGGGAGCGCCAGGTGGGCGTGCTGTGTGAGTTCAAGTACACGGTGAAGGGCACCAAGGAGGCCGCGGAGTCTCATCGCAAAAGCCCCCAGATGTGTGTGTGTGTGTGTGTGTGTGTGTGTGTGTTTGCCAAGGATGTTTTGTGGCTTTAAGAAGTTTGAAGGCTTTTTTCACAGCCCTGACTCCCGAACAGGCCCTGACGGTGGCCACGACTCGTCTGGAGACGATGCTTGGTGATACGGCCGTGGCAGTGCACCCCGAAGATGACAGGTACAAGGCCAGACTGCCGACTCCTGGCCACCGCTTTTGCTCTCATACTGTTGCCAAAGGATAGTTTCAGGGTCCCTGTAAAAGGGATCTGATGTATGGGCCCTTGGGTTGTATAGGGTATATAAGGGGTATGTAAGGGGTCGCCATGTGACGGCCCATGTTAAGGGACCAGGCAACTACCTTAAGATTTTGGGCCCTCTAGTCCCTTTAAACCCTTAAAACCCTAAGCATCTGCGGCACCGAATCCCGAACCTCGGGGCAGGCCTTCCATGGCAAAGAGCTCGAGCATCCCTTCTTTCCGGATCGGAAGATGGTGGCTTTGTGGCGGTTTGGGGCAAGTTTTGAGGGTTTGAGGGTGTGTTGGCTTCAGTTTGGGCTGCGAGGTTCCTTGGCATCTCAACTCAGGTGGTGATCGCGGACACCATGGTGGACCGTGAGTTTGGGACCGGGTGCGTGAAGATCACGCCGGCCCACGACAACAATGACTTCAAGGCGGGCAGGGTGGCTTTCTTCTTTGTCAAAGGGCCTTGATTGAGATGCCTCTGTGGTGCTTCAAGGAGAGACTTAAAGCCACTTGGTTTTGGCCAAACCTTTCAACGAAACCTTTTCCTGGACCCCCCAAGCTTGGCAGGCGGGCGTGCGACACAAGCTGCAACAGATAAATGTGTTCACGGAGGATGGCAACATCAACGAGTCCCGCGGCCCAAGGGCATGGGATGACTTGGCACATTTTTTGGGAGGGGTTCTTGCAAAGATTGTTGAGGGCTTCCGCGGTTTCGGATGGAGGGGTTAGGGCAGGGATTTCTTTTCACCCAGCTGAAACATCTTTGGGACGAGGATCCGAAAGGCAAGAAAAGGGTGGGGGGGGGGGCAAAGCTTCGGAGCTTCGTTCTCCTCCCAAGGAAAGGATTCACAAGGCTTGGCAAAGTTTTACGGAAGGCTTAGCCTTTGGATCCCCCTGAACGCTGCAGTGCTCTGAATCGTTCGGAGCTCGAACCCTAAGCCCTAAACCCTAAACCCTAAACCTTAAACCCTAAACCCTAAATTTAAGAGCCTCCGGCTCAAGACGCCGACCCCGCAGGAGAACAAGTTTAAGGTTTGGGGTTTGGTGGATTGGGTTGTTCGGGTCTGGGTGGGGGGGTGGGGGTGGGGTGGAGCCTGGCGAGAAGCTGCCTGGGCGGTCCTTTGCAATGGGGGGGAGGGTTTTTTCCAAAAGAGCCCCTATGCCCTGTGCGAAACCGCCTATGGTCCATGAGTTTTTACGCGGTGTGGATGGCCTGTTCCTCCACGGAAATGCCGGGGTACCCCCCCTACCCCCCGCGTTTTTTGGGGGGTAAGGAGGGAAAGAGGGAGGTTTTCGCCTCCAGAAACCCATCCAACACGCCGCCAGGGTCGGCAGACCCTAAACCCTAAACCCTAAACCCCAAACCCCGAACCCCAAACCCCAAAACCCTAAACCCCAAACCCTAAACCCCAAACCCCAAACCTTCAAGGAACGGCGGTGAGTTCAAGGGCCAGCACCGCTTCGAGGCGCGCAAGACCGTGGAGGAGGCCCTGAAGAAGAAGGGTCTCTGGGCGCCTCGGCTCACTTCTAGGGGGGGCCCCAGGATTCCCCCAAAGCTCGAAAGAAATGCATATATATGTATATACACATGATATATGTATAGATAAATAAGCAAGCATACATATATGCATTTTTAAATCTCTATATGTATGTGTATATGTAGATACAAGACAGATTATTTACATATGCGAACTTTGGGCCGAAGCCCTGGCTGTGGCCCTCAGGTGGGGAAGAAGTCCCACTCCATGCGCCTGGGCTTCTGCTCGCGGTCCAAAGACATCATCGAGCCCTACCTGAAGCCGCAGCTCGGAAGGGCTCCAGGGGGAAAGGAAGGTGGCGAGCTCTTGCTGGAGTACTCCCCGGGGGTCCCTTAATTTAGGAAACAACAGAGAGGATGGCAGCCTTGGGGGCTTGGGGGCCTCAGGGGTTTTCGTCCGGTGCAGAGATCCGAGCCCCGAGAAGCTTTGGATCCAGGCAATGGTGGATGAACTGCCAGGATCTGGCCGATCGAAGTGTGAAGGCTCTCAGAGAAGGCTCTGAAGCTGATCTCTCCGGCTTTTGACGATTTGTCTCGGAATGTGTGGGGAGTGGGCTTTCGGGGAAAAAGGGGGGGGGGGGAATCACAGCATCCCGAAGCTTATACTTGCAGTACTGCCGCGATGTCGGCATTGCCGTGTCGTGAGCGACACTCTGGAGCAAGGGGGGCTTTTCTGTGCTATGCTTTGCCGATCGTGGCAGGGGAGCTCAAGATTCAGCCCGAGTTCCATCACCAGACGTGGTACCACTGGCTGGAAAACATCCAGGACCCAGACCTGCTAGGGGAACAACGCCGTGATCCGCCACGACAGTTGTCGGGCCCTGACCAGGAGTGGTGCATCTCGCGACAGCTTTGGTGGGGCCACCGGATTCCTGCCTACAAGGTGGTGAAGCCCGTGCAGGCGCTTTGCAGAACTTTGGTAAGTTGTACACAACTTGGCAGTGCTGGTCCTTGAGAAGTTTGGGGTGGGGGGGTGGGCTCGGCAGCGTGCGTGATTCAAACGAGGTCCGATGATTAACCTACCCCATCCCCAACTGACATTCCCCGCAGCCCTTCAGCAAGCGAGGCTGAGGAGAAGTGGTTCACAGGCCGGAGCGCCCAGGAAGCGGCCGCCAAGGCGGAGAAGGCGCTGGGCACCAAGGCAGGGGGCCACCTGCCAGGAAGCAAAGCAAAGCTTTGGACCCTGGTACTGTAGAGCACCATGCGACTCCATAAGGGAGTTCTGCTTAAAGCATCTTAAAGCCCAAATGGTGGCAGGTGGAGGTAGAGCAGGACGAAGACGTGTTGGACACCTGGTTCTCCTCAGGCAGGGTTCTCAGGTTGAAGCTCGGCAACTCCGTCGAGGTGCCCGGAACTCCTTGGGGGGAAGTCTGCCAGTAACTTGCAAGTAGCCACGAGTGGCCGCCAGGCATCTGTGGCCAGTTCTCTTGTGGGGCTCCAGCTTCTGTGGGCGGAGGTCTCTTCCCCTTCTCTGTGTTTGGCTGGCCGGACACGGAGAACAACGAGGATGCCACCATGGGGGTTTGCTTGAAAAAAGGTCGTGCTGTAACTCCCAGCTGCACTGCGCGGCTCTTCGAATGATTCCGCCACCCTGTGGGAGTCTGTTGAGCGGAGTCCAGATCCAACATCTCCCCCGCAAAACGACAGCAATCCACCGCAGCGGTTCTTGAATTACGTCGCTAAGCGCCTTCAGGACTTCAAGGCCTTCTTCCCAACCTCTCTGTTGGAAACTGGACACGACATCCTCTTCTTCTGGGTGGCCAGGACACCGGGTGTCAGAATTGTGGGTTTTGCCCGAGGGTTTTTGGCAGGACCCGTTTCTTCCAACCATTCTTGAGTGCTCAAAGCTGCGCTCGAGAAGGCTCGAGGAAGAGCCGCAGAACTTAGACAACATAGCTACTAAAAGATGAGAGTGCTAGAAGCAAGGGCATTCTTCCTCCGCATCCTGAGTAGCCATGCGACAGAGGATGGTGATGATGTCCCTGGGCCTCACGGGGAAGCTCCCATTTCACACCGCAGCCCGGATCGCACCTGGAGCAAGTACGCTTAAGTGTAAGTGTAAGTTCACGACATCCAGCGGAGCCAGGCTTGAGAGTTGAGCCTCTGCTTTGGCAGGATCATCTTCGCAACCGATCCTGCCCCGCAGTTTTGGTTGCCATGGGCCTTTTTTTGGATATCCGGCCAGAGGTCCCAAAATGGGGGGGGGGGGGGGGGCAGGTTTTCGTGTTTTGAGAGAAAAAGACGTACAAATGTATGCTCCCAGAGACAGCGATCTAGATCTAAAGAACAGTTCAAAACACACGATTGGGAGGAGAAGGCCCAGCAAAAGTCAGCTCACGCAGAGGTAAAGATCCAGCCAAGACACGTGGGAATGTGTGGGTGCGTGGGTCGCTCGCGGGGCACATTGCTGGTAAAGACCTGTTCAAGGCGGGGGAGCAGGGGTGGGTAGTGGGCCGGCTTTAGCCTCGGCTTGCCCCATAAGTATGTGTAGCAGCTTTTTATGCGGGGGTCTTTTGACGTAGGACAGGGCGCTTTCTCCATCTCTGCTTTCGCCTTCTAACCGTTTTCATATTGGTGGTTGGGGAGGTGCACTTCCGACAAACTCCACGCATCAAGAAGCCGAGGTATATCTCCACGCCATGGTGCGGGATGCGCACGGCAGGAAGCCGCCTGCACGCAAGGACTTGAGGCCAAATGCAGCAGCCTGGGGCAGCCCTAAGCAGCTTAAGGTCGCCTTCGGGTTCATGAAGGGGCCTCAGCCGCCTCAGCCGCCTTGGCCGCGCCAAGGATGTCCAAAAGCCTTGGCAATGTCATCGATCCCCTGGAGGCCGTGATGATGGAACATGGCCAGAAAGCTTCGGGGCTTCGGGGTCCAAGCCAGTCCTGGGCCGAAGCTAGCATGCTTGAGCTTCTGGAAGGGGCAGGTAGCCCACCTCCCCGCATGTGTTATGATATGTTCTGTTGCCAGTAACTGCTGAGTTTCGGGTGAGCTTGTGGCAGGTGATCGATGGCATCAGCCTCGAGGACCTGCACAAGAAGCTCTACGAGGGGAACCTCCCAGAGAAGGCCCCGACAACTCTCACAAGAACGAGAGCCGTACTGGCCTAGTGAGCCTAGGGTAAGCTATGAAGGTCTATGAATCACCCTCGAGGCCTCGACCCTTCACCCTCATCTGCCGCGCAAGTGTAGCGAACCCCTTCTGCAGCGTTTCAGGGTTGGGGACGATGGAGTACGGAAGGACGGAAGGACTGACCACCTTTCACACAAGCTGCAGCTGAACGTGAGGAGATCGAGAAGGCGAAGAAAGGCCAGAAGGAGGACTACCCGGATGGCATTCCAGAGCTTTGGCTTCTGACAGAACGGAAGGTTCGGCTCGCGAAGTGCGCTAGGTCTGGAAGTTCGAGGGGTCTTACGTCATGTTCATGCTCAAGCCTGAGATCCTGAGAAGTCTGAGAAGTCTGAGAAGTCTGAGAAGTCCGACAAGTCCGTGAAGTCTGAGGCTTGAGGATTGCACATCGCAGAACTGCCTGGAGTAGCTAGCAGCGGCCCAACGAGAGAGCCCAGGAGTGCGGTGCGGACGCCCTGCGGTTCGGCTTGCTGGCCTACACCCTGCGGCTTCGTACCGAAGGGGGGTTTCAGTTGTGGTTTTGGCGTTGGGGGGCCTCAAAGGATCCGAGCCAATCCGAGCTGGGGAGGTAGGTGTCTTATGATTCTCATGATCGCCGCGGTTTTTGCTAAGGCAGGGTCGAAACGTGAACCTGGACATCAACCGCGTGGTGGGCTACAGACACTTCTGCAACAAGGTGTGGAACGCCACACGGCGTCCTGGTTACAGTTATATGAATATCAAGTATCAGGGCTTCTCTGGAGAGGGCTCAATCCGGGAGCGTGCTTTGTCGCGATCAAGGAAACCCACAACGAACAAGCTCTTAAAGCATCGACAGATCCAACTTGCATATCCTTGTGCCCAAACTCCGAAGTTTGTTCCTCCTCAAGCCCCGCACTTTGCATCCTGAAGGGGGGGTCTTCTCCAGAGATGCGCCCTCTGTCTTTTTTTTTTTACAGGCGCCCCCCAACCTTCCCCTCCACTCCCCCCTGCCCCCTCCCCTCCACAACTCGAGGGTTTGTTTGAGTCATCAGAGAGGTTCGGGCTGATGTACTTCGGCAGCGACTTTGCCTTCCCGGGCTCCCTGCGGCCGGACCAGGCCCTGGCCTGGGAGGACACCCTTTCAAGCTGAGGGGGGAACTTCTTGTGGGGCTCGGCCGGGCATCTTCAGGGGGTCAACAAAAGGCTCAGCCGGGCTGGGTTGTTGGGGGAGAATTCGAGAGAGGGGGGGGGGACACAAGAATTCCCCACTTCCCCCACCCGCAGAATTCAGCCGAAGGATCGATGGATTCTCTCCCGCCTCTCCTTCTGTGCCCAGAAGGCCGCGCGCCCCGCGCGCGCGCGCGCGCGCGCGCGCGCGCCTGCGCCTCGTGCACCGGGGGAATCCGGCTGCGACAGTTGGGGGTTTTCCGATATTCGGGGTGGCTGATTGGGGTCCTTATTATAAAAGGAATCCTACTATTGGGGGGGTCTTTAGTAAGGGTCCCGGATTTTCGTCAACTCCCAGTTCGATGACACTGCGTCAAGAACCGAACCTGTAGCAGGCGAACGACAGCATGGCGAAGTACGAGTTTGCGAATGCGACAACAGCTACCTACAGCTTCTTCCTGTACGAGCTGTGTCGCTGGACTGCTCGGTCGCTGCTTTTGTGTTCTCTTTTTAAAGCCACGAGCTTGTCGTTTTCCAGGGCTCCCCCCCCAAAAAGTCCAAGACGCCATGAATCTCCGTGCCTTTGATCCAGGCGATGTATATCTTGAACTGCTGAAGCCCCGTTTCTATGGGGAGACTCAAGACGAGAGCATTTTGAAGGACCGTCAGGTGGGCCCTTTCAGGGACTCGAGGAAGCCTGACCAATGTTTCAAGAAGCCCCCCCCCCCCCCCCCAAGAAAGCATACTCTAAACCCTAAACCCTAAACCCTAAACCCTAAACCCCAAACCCCAAACCCCAAACCCTGAAACGTAAACCCTACGGCGATAGAACAATATTCAAAAAAGGGGGCCCTGGTCAGGTGGCCAGGGAGGTTTTGTACGTGTGCCTCGATTGGTCCATGCGACTGATGCACCCTCTGCTTCCGCCCCTCGGCTCCTTCAAGTATTGGGTTTAGGGTTTAGGGTTTAGGGTTGAGGGTTGAGGGTTTAGGGTTGTTGAGTGTTGAAGACAGGGGGCTTGCAGGTTTCGGATTCGGCCGACTCGCATGTCCTTGTTCTGTAGCCTTCTGCGGCTTCTCGTGAAGCCCCCCAAAAGCAAAGGTACCTGACGGAGGAGCTCTATCAAAGGCTGCCCCCTTCGCCAACGAAATGTGAGAGCGTGACGCCGCACGGCGGCAGGGTGTAAGCCACGGCGAACACGGTGGGACTGTCTGATTTCGTTGTTGGGGGAAGGTGCAGGGTCCGGATGTTTCGATAGCCTGGGTTGTCAGATAATCCCGCCATGTGCAGCTGCACTCCTCTCCCCTCCAAACAAACCAAGGATCGCACCATACCCGGTGCACGTGATCGCTTGGCAGAACGAAGCGCTCGAGAAGGAGATGGAGGCCCAGATCCCGGAAGGGTGCTTTTGTGATGCAGAGCTTTGGGGAGGCTGGGATTCGTTTTTTTTGTCCGATGGTTTTGGTGAGGTGACCAGCGAGATCGCAAAGCAGTTCCGGTCACAGCAGCCGGGCGAACTCTTGAGCTGTTCTTTTTTGCTTGGGGGCTCAACGTGTTGTTTTTCCACATTCTCAGCCCTCTGCTCCCACTTGCGGATGTTTGCTCTCAGGAAGACTTCCTTGGGCTTCTCGCCCGGCGCACGGCCCGAGGCGCCCCGCGGGCGGAGTGTAGGATGAGACCTCCGGGAGCCCCCAAACCCTGAGCCCTAAATACTAAACCTCTAAAAACACAACATCGGTTGTGTATAAAGAAGTCATAAATTCCAATGGTTGTAGGATCCTAAACCCTAAGCCCTCATAAAAAAAGTCATAAATTCCAATGATGGTAAGCTCCTAGACCCTAAGCCCTATAGGAGTCCTATAGCCCGCCTGAGCCTTTGCAGCCAAAAGGCCTACATCAGACACTCCGATCCCGAGCTGCGGGAAATGGCTGCCTGGCTCCAGGGGTGCAAAAGGAATCCCAGGGGGTGTTGGGTGGGCTTTCGGGCTTTCGGGTTGTTCGGGTTTTTCGGGTTTGTTCGGGTTGTTCGGGTTGTGGGTTTAGGGTTGGGGTTTGATTGTGGGAGCTCCTAGGCCTTGGGGCATGTGTGGATCAGCAGCTGAAGTCCTGCAAAGCGTGCCCGGTAAACACACCCACTCGGGCCAGCCATGTCGCAGCAAGGTGGAGAAGCTCAAGAACCAAATCTCGCGCATGGCCGGCGTGGGCTCCATAACGGAGCCTTGGGCGCTGTGTGATTTAGGGTTTAGGGTTGTGGGTTTAGGGTTGTAGGTTTGGGGTTTAGGGTTTAGGGTTGTGGCTTGTGGTTTTTTGGGATGTTTTGAAGGTGAGAGGGTACCGAGAAGCTGCGCCCTCGCATCGGCGCTTTTTGTGTACTGCTGTGTCTCTTTTGAGCTGCCACTGCACGAGGTGCTGAAGGAGGCCGATGCTGACCCCAAGCAGAGCATGCGGGACGTGGTGAATGAGAGCCTTGTTCTGCCTTGTTCTGCCTTGGTGGCTGAAAGGACTTGGGACGTAGAGTGGACCAGCTGCTTGCTTGCTTCTCCCGAAAGGTTTGTGGCACTTCAGAGGGCTTGTTCTCCCAAGCCTCCCCCCCGTGAGCTCCCAGGAAGTGCCTCATCTACACCAAGGTGGAGGGCCTGGACCTGAAAGGAGCGCGGGGCTTCCAGGGAGGGGGGGTTTGGGGGGGGTGAAGAACTCTGCTGGTGCTGGGTTTCTACTGGTATGAAAGAGCAGGCGAGAAGGCCAAGCTGGAGAAGAAGGTCACCTCGGCCGAGAAGATGGTGGACTCCTACAAGTCTCCCGCTCTCTCGGGGGCAGGGGGGTCGATTTGATCTCTGGGACTTGGGAGATCGAGTTTCGTTCAGGGCTTCCATGGTTGGAGATGGTTAAGGTTCAGGTTCATGCGAATCTCGGGCACTGGGGTTCGACTTGCCTACTTACCTGGCATCCTACTGGTGTCGTTGCTTAGCCTCCATGCTGCACAAAGTGTTTCCGTCGCTCTCTCTCTCTCTCTCTCTCAGTTTTCAGTTCTTATATCATGTTATCGTACATTTGTACATACACCAAGCTCTCTCTCTCTCTCTCTCTCTCGTGCTCTCGTTCTCCGAGAGTTCCCCCAAGCCCGCGCAGCCTGCCTCAACCCTTGCAGTCGCCCCCAACGCTGCCCAGCTTCCGATTTTTGGCATCCCGATCTTCGCAAAGGCAGAAAATGTCTGTGCCGGGCTACGAAGAGAAAGTGCCCGAGAAGGTGCGGGAGACGAACACGCAGAAGCTCCAGGCCAGAAAAGATCCCTTGTCCGCCTGTGAGCGAATGTTTGGCAGCTTACTCGATCTTTTGGTTCCTGCTGCGTCTCTTGAAAGTAGTACCATTTTTTGGTCTCTTTGGTCCTTGAGGCAAAAAACACTGAAAGACCCTTTTTGAGGCCTTCCTAGCCCCACGCGCCTTCTTAGCTGTGCCTCAGTGTCCTTGTGCCCAGAGGCCGCCGAGAAGGAGCTGCAGGAGCTGCTCACGGCTCTGCAGCCTCGGCTTTGGCTTTCTTTTTTAGCTCCCCTTTTTTTTGGGGATTCTTCCCTCAAGCTTCTGTCTCTCTCTCTCTCTCTTTTTGTTTTTTGTTTTTTGGGGGGGGTGGGGGGTGGGGAGGGCGGTTTTACAAGTGTGGAGCCTAGACGGTGAGGATTCGGAGCCGTGAGTGCTTAGCCGAGGCAAAGCATCAATGAGGCGATGGGGTCCAGCTAGGGGGCTTCTGCTTCAGGCCTCTGCTACCCTCTTGAGATTTCGCTGCCTTAGGCTTAGGATGTGCAATCTTTGCTGACAACTCCCCGAGCCTCAAGGCTTCGCTCAAAGGCCTGGAGAGCCCTGAATCAGATGCCCAAAAGTCTCCACCCGGCCCGCAGCTCGCAGAGAGACAAGCCTGTTTGGGGGGTTCTTTCTGCCGAACACCCTTGGGGCTGAAGAAGGTGTCGGGTTGGGGCTTCGAAGGCTTCGCAGATCGTAGGATGCACCGAATGGAGGTGCTTCGGTCTTGCAGGAGAGTTGGGGGTTACAGGATTCTTTGCGGCGAATCCGGGCGTGACTGCACCCTCTACATGGAGAATCACTCCCAGGCCTACTGTTTGGAAGGCACCCCCCAGACAGGCTTAGACACGACGCGCTTAGCTGTGGAAAAGCCGAGACCGGAAATCGGTCATGTACAGCCAACGATGGGCGTAGACGCCGAAAATGCCTCCTCATGTGACCCAAATCCCGGAGTTCTTTGATGTACGGAGGATCTGTGAGGTCACGTGCACGTGCGTCGCAAGGTGCCTGAAACCTGTGAGAGACCTCTCGCCGGCGTGGATCGCTTTGGCTGTTGATCTTGTTGGTTTTGTTTTGCCGTTGCGTTGGGGCTTCTGGTGGGCGTTCGTGCGGGTGTGCGAGTGTGTGCCTAAGACGACCGTGCAATGGCTTCAAGATCGGTTGAATCGTGGAATACTTTTGGAGACTTCCGAAACCCCCTGTCCAAACCTCAGAATCTGGCTCCGAGCCCACCAGTTTAGGGATGAACTCCTTGCAGCCGGCGTTTGTGAGCTGCCCGCAGGTGGGAGGGAGGACGGGGCAAGTGTTTCAAGTTGGTTTGGGGGGCGTTTTCGGTATGAGATCGCTGAGAGTTGTAGAGCAACCGACGTGTGCTGGGGTACACATGTAACTTCAAAGCAGCTGCAATGACGGGGCGTGTTTGCCCTGAGATCAAGCTCGTTTTGGCACTCAGCCTTCCGATGTGTCTTCCACCCTCGACAAATCGTGCTCTCCGAAAGGCTGTGCATTCATGCTTGGTTTCTCCCAACTCTCTGGCATGAATCACACACCCGAAAGCTCGTGAGAAGCAGCTCGGCCGCACTCTGCTCCAATGGTCATGCTGTAAGCGCCCCGGCTAAGCCTCTAAGCACATTGGATGCATTGGCCTTCCCTTGAAGATGTCTGGCATTGTACCTTGGGAAGGCCGGCATCGCCGCCCCTCGCCTTGTACAGCCTCTTCGTACGCGCGGTGCTTTGAACTTGCTGCAGTCGGGTTTTCAGCCATTTTTTGTGCTTGTCGGTCGTCTGCTCTCTTACCTGTAATGGGGTCCCTTGTGGAAACCTCGCAGAGGTGTTCTCAAGCTTAACATGACGCCAAGATGCTAACTCTTCAGCCTCTTCAGCAATGCTCGAGGCTGAGTTCGGCGCCGCCAAGCAGCGGAACATGGTCCGGGTGGTTTCAGGTGGGCATTGGTGTTGCGATGAGGGCGGGTTTCGCTGCCGAGACACTAGTGACTACTGGTGCGGTTTTAGACTGTTGTAGATGCTCTAGTCTTCTGAGCCTTTGGCGCAGAGATCTTTTGGACCATGGGGCCTCACGAAAGTCTCGCGAGTCTCAACAAGCCAGCAGAAGCTGCAATCCTTGCGACATCCGTTGCGGAAGGCGGCAGTTGGTACGTTGTGTGCTGCAGTCGCGCCGCGCGCTCAGAGACTCCAGATCTCAGTTTGGGGAGTGAAAGTGCGCCCTTTACTTGCCCATACCCCCTATGTCACTATGTTGCGCCATGATATTCTCGACGTTGAGATTGTGCACTTCACCAAAGCTTTTTTCGAGTGGGAGGGCGGGGGGTCAATATTGAAAGGAATACACACACACACACACACTAAAGAGAAGGACGTATACAAGCATACGCGTCTAGATCTGAAGAGCCATCCAAAAAAGTCACAATGACAGAAATCAGCCCCCACAGATGGCGATCCGAGCTATAGATTCTGCCGAGCTATGAGAATGTGCGGGTGTGTGTGGGTCGGTCGCGTGCGACATTGGAGGAGGGTCGGTGGGTGCGGTGGCGGTGTACCGCAGAATGAGGCGAGCGTCGCATAAAGATTTTTTCTATTTTTCCTAAGATATTGGGGTTGGGGGGGGGGGGGGAGGGGGGTCCTGAAAGGTAGAGGAAGGGCACGGTGTGGCGAGAAGCAACCTGCGCCGGTTTACGAACAGCGTCCAAGCAGCGCCCCTGCATTGAGCTCGAACGTGACATTCTCCAGAATCTCCCAGAAGTTTTTGTTTAAACCAGACTTGGGGCATACTTCGTTTTCCCTGAGGATGCACAGTTTCTGTGACAATGGCCCTGGATCAATAAGGAGCCTCCGAGCTCAGAGCTGTGGGTTCGTACCTGGTTCAGGCCCTTTCAGGTGGAGGGTGCTTTCAAGGGACAGCTTTGGACGCTTCGGGGTTCGTCTTCGCGTTTCACCGTCTAGCTCGGAGGGCATGTTTTTCTTCGGCTCCGCAATCCCCCGAGGTGTCGAACAGCTGCCCCGCGCCGGGCAGCGTGCAGGCAGCGCGTCCAGATGCACTTGTACATGTGCGGCTCCCAGCTCGATGAGCCACGTCGCGTTGTCCAAATCAAAGTCTGAAGCATTTTCGGGGTCTGTTAGATGGAGTCCGGCGTGGCGAGTAGTGACTCTGTTCAGCTGGGCTCTTGCCCTTTGGAGCCACAACCGAGCGCTGTGAGCCCCGCGCCAGCTGAGGCGCGAAGAAGATGATGCGCCGGATGATTTCTTCAGACGCCCTCCATCCTGGCAGCCGAAGGCGCGCACTGCGGGGATTGCTTGGACTCCAAGGCTTGGATGGTTTTAGGGGGCGCCGCAAGCAGGGGGGTGCATCCCTGTACCTCGAAAGCTTTTGGGTGCGTGAGAAGTTTCGCATGTGTCGATATGCTCGCGTCCAAGGTTCTCTTCAAGGTAGAAGTGACCGGCAGCCTAGGAGCGTCCGCGTAGGTCCAAAGACGTCCCCAACTTGCCAACTTCCAATTTCTTAGGTACCCGAAAACTCTTCAGAATCTGAGATCGACGTCTCCCCTGAGCCAGGTGAGGCCGGCGTGGAACAAGTTCCGCTCCCCCAGCAAGGCGCTTCTGGGAGGAGACTTTTCACTGTTTTGGCTTCTTGCCGGATGAGTAACAAGCTTCCGCCTTCGAAAATCTCCCTGATGTGGCAAGCCTGGGATGGAGCCGAGGAAAGCAACTGCAAGGGTAAAGGAACGCAGGGAGGACTACAGAGAGCCGTCCTTCTGCATCTCCTGATCTAGTCTGGTGCTGACCGCGTTCATATGCCACAGCCCTGCAAGCTCCAAGTCAGCCCTTTTGTCCGCCAGCAGCGGCTCAACAACTCCGTGACTTTCTTCTTTCCCAACCGGGACCGGGTTCACAGGGTTCAAGGATGTTCAAGGATTAGTCTGGGGTTCAGCACTGCGACAAATGTTTATAAGGAGAGCGCAGGGGCTCGCAGGCCCATGCTAGAGAGACTGCTCAGATAGCATCAGGGCCAGCAGGAGGCCAAGTCTTGGGTACCGGGGGCGCTTGAGAAGCCTTGTCATCCAAATCTGCATGTGTGTGATTTTTTTCCCATGGCTCTTGAGGAGTTTACAAGTGCGTGGGGCATTGGCAAGGTTTCCGAGACTTCCCAAGTCTCAAGCTAAGACCGGAGGACTATCGAGAGACCGAACATCAGAACTTCATCAATCCCAAGATGTACAAAAGGCAGGGTCCCGCAATCTCCCCCCAAGGAGAGGTTTTTCAGAGTGCGGGGAGCATGGGGGCCCTCTTCTGCTGGCAAAATGCACTGCTTTCTTCACATCGACTTCAGTTCCCAGCCCGAGTGGCTCTTCGTCTTGTGCCCCCCTGATGCCCAGGGTCCGGCTAAGCAAGAAGCTGCGCATGCGCCAGCGGCGCACCGAGAAGAGGGCGTGGCGAAAGCTGCCCGGGCCTTAGCCGCCGTGATAGAATTCATTAGAATTCCTTAGAATTTTAAAATTCATTAGAATAATTGTAAACGCTTGCGCGCGCCGCCTCGGCAGCCGGGCCGGCCCCAGGACAGGAAAGGAGGAAAGGGGGGGGTGGGGGGGGTGGGGGGTGGGGGGGCGGTGGGGGGCGGGGGGGGGGGGTGGGGGGGGGGTGGGGTGGGGGGGGGGGGTGAAATTTTGCATGGGGGGAAGGGTTGGGTTAGGGGGAAGGAGGCCCGATGCGGGTCTGCTCAGACGCTTCTGAGGCGAATTCAGTAGAATTCATTGGAATTCATTGGAGTTCAATAGAATTCGGGGGGAGGTGGTTGGGTGTTGAACGCCACCACGGCGGCGTGCACCGGACCCCGGACCTTCAAGCGCCGTGATGGGAGTCTGAGCCATTGCCATCACGGCTTTCACTCCGCAGGGTCGCTTGCAGGGCGCATTCAGAGCCACGAGTCTTTGGTGGGTTTCTGGTTAGGCGACGCTTCGATGATGTTGTACTCATGGCTTTAAGTGGCTAAAGCGACTTGCATCAGATTCCATCGGAGGTCCAACCGGCTGAAGGATGAGTGGCGCTTCCGGCGCTATCCGCGCGATGAGTCCGGCAAGGCCTCTCGGCATTTCTTGAGTGGGGGCTTCAGAGTATCCGCTGCTTTAACACCCCCTGCTTTGGCTTTTGTTGGGCACAAGCGGTGCCGCCGTTGGCGCATTGATGCACCTGAAGCTTGTGTGACCCAGCATGTCAAGCGTTCTATGACTTGGGGCTGCATCATTGCTTTCGGTGGCGCTTCTCTGACCATCGTCAGCCACCCATCATCCATTCCTCAACTTTCGTCGTCATCATCATCATCATCATCGTGGTCATCATTGGGCAATCCACAAAAAACCTGATTG